CGATATTTGTAATTTAACAAATACGCAACAGTTCAAAATGTCGATACGTAGGGGGGGCACTCAAAACACTGGCGCTCAAGACGCCCAAAACCCTGGCGGACGTTTAAGGTTCGGACAGATGCCTATACTTTTTTGGTCGCTCAAAACGCTGACGCAAAGTATGAACGCTTTTGGAAACGTCACCGTTGGCGATGTCTTGCCTTCCTGCACAATTTTCTTTTATTGATAGTCGCTGGAATATGGTAAGACACGTTGCATGCGGACTTAAAGATAGTTGGCACCCATCCCGATCAAGCATTCAATCGGGAGAAGTGGCGTGACAAAATAAGACGAGCGGACTCTGCTACGGAGCGGGACAAACGCTGAAGAAGTTAGGCGCTGGAATAGCGCCTAGGCTTCATGACGTTTCAGTACCCTGTGGTAGCAAGGTCTGAATGCACATTATCGTTGTACGATAGCAATCCATGGCGCTATCGTAGAGGTGAGCGGAGGAGAGGTGGGGGGGAGGGAGGAAACTATTCAGCCGAGCTTCTCCATCCCTCCACAAAAAGTTTGTTCTTGTTGAAATAGGCAAGAGCTGAGCTCCTGAGTATGATAGAATTAATGAGCAAGGAAACTGTGGAGAAGGCAACAATCCCTTGTTGTAGCCGTGCATAATTGCGGTCTCCATCGATTGTAGTGAATGCTACTTGGAAATCGGATGTTTCGTGATCAGGCTCTTTATGTGAGTTAAGTGAGCAGCCCTAAAAGCGTGAGAAAAGCCGTGTCTAGTGCTCAGCGAAAGGCCAGCGCAAGACGAAGGCACAGGAAGGCAATTGAAAAACAACTGCGATACCGATGTGATACGCAGAATCCAGTCCTTGCATAAGCTGGGCGCGAACTGCAACCCATGAAGTACTAATGTGAGGGTCGAAAGTGCTCAATAAGAATGGAAAGGGTCCGCAACGATAGTCAGGCTCCACCCACGTGGGTCGGCCCCACCCTTCTACTCTTTTTTAATGTCGCTCTCTCTTTCCCACATCTTCTGTTTTAATGCCTCCGGGTTGTACTCAGCTCGAAAAATCAGCGGTTTTATTTAGAGCATTTTCAACTGTTTCTTTTTATTTTTCATTGGCAAGTCTAACATCGCATACTCCTTTTGTTTCTGAACCTACTTATCCACTATTTATAAGATGTGCCTTGAGAGGGGCCAGACTGCAGCTTTGCGTCAGCATTCAATGGGTTATTCAGTAGTCAGCGATTTTGAAGGGGTAGGGAGCTCTTGGTTGAGCGAGTCTCATTAAGCATTTCAGTTTCACAATGGTCGGTTAAGAGCTTAGCCGCAGGCTCCACTCTCTTAGAGCGCAGTTGCAGCACTTCGCATCGCGGCGATCCAATCGACGCGATCGGCGAAGTCTGAACCGCTCTTAAAAAGTTGCAGGCTACAACAGCGTTGACGTAAAAGTGCAGACTAGCCCTCCCGAGTCACACGGCGTCTGTGCGGTTTTGTTTCGTCGAATGAATGTTATGCATCATTAATTGTGAGTCATTCCAGTGAGATGAGCTCGTTTCGTTCATATGTATGGGATCCAGTGCTGCTGATCAGTCAGATGATATGTATGCAAACAGTTTTCTACACAACAGAATGTGCTGCATTGATTGCGTACAGTATGACTGGCTTCACTCCAACACTGGCACATATTTATTCCATACAGGTGGGCTTTCGTTATTTCAAGCAGGTTTTTTTGATTGATTTCTTTGTGGTTTTTTCATGAAGAGCCATAAAGAGCGAACATTTGTTGATATCCCCGATGTTGGGCGCCACATGCCTCTGTGGAATAGGCAATCTGTAATTTTTCGTCGCCGCTTGCGTTTACACTGCCCACTGTGAAAGGGGGATTTCAAGGAAATGGTGTAAATCGATTGCGCCAATTCTTCTAGTGTTTCGGATCGATACGTACAGGTTCCTTCTTGCGGATTCTCTAATTCTCCGACGGCGCTGTATATAAACACGATCTAATAGCCTTCAGTTTCAAGGGGAAGGAGCTGCGGGTGGGTAGACACTTGCCCGTAGGCTCGTCTACCCTGGAGCTACGAAGTGAAGGCTATCGGACAGTGTTCATACACAGAGCCGTTGGAGAATCGGAAATTCCGCGAAAAGGAATCTGTGCATATGGATTTACCACGAAGAGAATAGGCGAAATCGGTTTACATCTATTCCTTAGATTCAACTATTCTCGGCGCAGTACAAGCACGACATCCTAGCTCTGACGAAAATATTACAGACTGTCCTCCCCCCCCCCCTCCTTCCCAAAGCACACAGTACATCTGCATTATACTCCTCCATCAGTTAGAGGCTTTTTCCAGGCTCTTCGCGTGATGGTAGTCGTGCAATTGCTGGCGACCCTTTCGTGTGGAATCGCCATGAGATTCGTCGTCCAACGTGCCAAACAGTGCCTGGATTTCTCATGCACTTTGCACGCATTCCACCTCCTTTTTGTTATCATCTACAATCATGCATTTCCTACACAACTGCTTTGGTGGGGTGTACAAATAGCCAGTGTTGTAATATGCACTCTACTGGGCGAATATCTCTGTATGGTAGCTGAATCACAAGAAATTAGACTTGGTCCGCCGTCGAAGTACGATCTCTGAGTTCCCGAGATTATGGAATAATGATGTCCTAAAACCAAAAGACAGCAGGAAAACGCTTGTCTGGTGCTTTATGTATTGCGCAGTGCTGACGCTACGGCCTTAATCCCTGAATTCTGCCTAGCTTTGTCACTTTCGAGCGCGATATGCGAAAGGTGGGGATTCATTGTGTCGCGCGGTGTAACGGTATGATGTTTCCAGTGTTGCAATGGGAATCATTAATGGAAAGAGACATTGAAGCATTGGAACCGCACATGCTTTTGCGAGAATTGGGTACTCGAACTCGAAAAGTTCTCGAACCTCAAGACACATTGTAGGATTCCCTGATATGTGGATCCCTTCTGTATAGACAGGTCCCCAGCCGCAGAAAGGTATCACTTTCGCCACTTGAAAGTGCGTGGCAAGGAAGCTAA